AAAATGCAAAACACCCATTGGGGCAATTGTCATGAAGACCAGACAAAGCTTCACAAAGGAACATGTGTTTCGGTGGCTTCTGACCAAGATATTCCCCAACCATGGATTAATTTTTCGTATCCTCTTTCTTCCCTCATGGACCACAGATCAAAAGAACTATCTTTGCCATCGAAATTTTTTATGACTCTCATGGGTTTCTCTCACCAGCACAAGGGCAGAATATATATGAATGCATCTATCAAAAAGCCCTACCCATAGCTTGTGCAATCTTTTCAATCACACCGCCATCAAATTTCAAGGTTACCTGGCCATCCATATTTCATCTCACTTTTTATTCACAAATCACTTCAGTTCTAAAAAGAGTGAGGAGAAAGAAACAGCCTCCAGCGTGCAAGTCATTTCGTGGGGGCCACAGCAGATTTACAGGTTGAAGGTTGGCTCCCGGTTCTTGTTCTAACTGGAGCTGTATTGATTTGTGAATCATAAACCAAATAAAGTCCACACATGCTCCACTGTCTTTATCAGCCATCAGTGACTAGAGAGAAGGGATTTCCTCCTCCTCTAGCACAGCATTAAAAAAAAAATCTAAGCACAGCATGTGATTGAGATTTTCAGGAAGGGCTGCTGGTGGAAAGGGAATCTCAACCTCTCCCCTCTCATCTGCAATAGTTCCATCTTTCATTCATCCTCCCCCCCATTCTAATTCAGCCTGGGGGGGGGCTCCCACTGGTGTGAATGAAGGTTTTGTGACATAATGTGAGGGGCGGTTACACAGCGGAACTGCTGTTGTGGCTTTAACCCCTCCTTCCAATGCTGTGACTCACCTAAACACATAATGTTTAACCTACTGCTGTTAGGCATCTGAAAACCTCCACTGGTATCAATAATTTTCTAAGGATTCTTAGAAAGCAACAATTGACTGAGAGTTTGTTAATCACCTTCTATCGGAGTTCGATTGAGAGCATAATCCTACTGTCTCTGTGTATGGTTCACGAGCTGCACAGTGGCAGAGAAAAAGGCAATTCAAAGGGTGATTAAGACGGCCCAAAACATCATTGGCTGTTCACTCTTTGGAAGAATTGTATAAGAACAGATGTAAGAGGAAGATATCTAACATACTGAAAGACTCCTCTCATCCGGGATATCAGCTCTTTAAACTATTACCATCAGGAAGGAGATTCAGGGTATTGAAAGCAAGGACAAGCAGATTCAAGAACAGTTTTTACCCAAGTGCAGTATTGAGTTTAAATGCGGGGCCATAGGTTTTTGGTGGAATTTTAATTGCTGAGAGAAAACGGGGTATCTATATTTGGATGGTGAAAGTTGTGTATATTTTAACTTTTTTTTATAGTGTTGTCCAGTTTTACCTTGGGGAAGAGCACCTCATTTCGTTGCACCCACTTGTGAGCGCAATGACAAATAAATTTCTTATGTCTTATGTCTTATGTCTTAATTAGTTACTAAATGGCCATGAGATCAATGAACCCATTTATTCATTGGATGCATCATGCAAAATGCCAAGGGTCTGAAGCTGGGGTTTAGGATCTCTGGAGAGAACTTTAGTGATGATGATGATGATGATGATGATGATGATGATGATGATGATGATGATGATGATGATGATACTAGTAGTAGTAGTAGTAGTAATACTAATAGCAATCAATCATTGATTCCAACTTAATGGTGACCCTTTGCAGGTTTCTCTAGGTACAGGGTACTCAGAAGTGGTTTGCTGTTCCTTTTTTCTGCTGATACTCTTGAGAGCATGGAGCTTGCCAAAGCCTACACACATGGTCTCTTCACTTGGGTGGCCCAGGGAACTCAAAGTTCTAACCTCTGGCTTCACAATCACATATCTAAGCCATGCAGTTATCCAGGTTTAACTACTATACCTGCCCCCCTCCTGGCTGGGGTGGTTCCTGGCACATTTGAAGGCAACCTGGAAACACTTCTTCACATACCACCTTAAAAGGTTTATTATGTAACTTAGGCAATCCTGATTCAGCCTGTACATCTTCATATTGTGTTTAAGATCATGGCCAAAAAAAGTTTAAGAATTAGAGATGGGCACGAACTGAATCATAAACTAGAACAAGAAACGAACCAGGCTGGTTCATGATTTGGTTAGTGACCTGGCTTGAGGAATCTGGGTTTGCTAAAGCAAAATGAAAGGCTGAGCTTTTTCCCCTCCTCATCACTTCCTTTTGCTTTGCCCAAGTGAACGCCTGCCCACACCTTCCCGATGCCTGGTCACCTCCCTGCCAGGTTCTGCCACCTCCTCTGCTGGGCCCTCAGAGGGCCTGTCTTGCCTTCCATGCCTCTGCACATGGGTTCACCATTCAGCTGATAGGCGGGTGCATGTGCAGAGGCAGCAGCCAGCTCCATGAAGGGCAGCTGGGCCTGCCCCCTCTGCATATGTCCTCACCGCCCAGCCATTCCGAGCAGTCAGCTGGAGTTGGGCGTTTGTGCAGAGGCAGCAGCTGACGTCCCTGCAAGAAGTCAGGCGGCAGCAGGCCAATTAAGTTTTCCAGTTGGGTCATGTTGGTTCATGATTCGTGGCTAACCATGATGATTTTTCAGGTTTGTGCCCATCTATCTCTATCGAGAATAGCTACCCTATGCTACTGGCATATAGAAGAATGGGGCAGAAGAATGTCAGCTGTGCCTGCTGACAGCCATGCTGCTTATGAACCAAGAAAGATGAGTTTCTTTAATGGTCTTAGGCACAGACACAGAGACCTCCCATAGCTTCTAACTATAGGAACGATGTGAAGGAGCCAACTGGGTGTCCTTGTCAATGTAAAGCCACTAGTTGGAATCTGGCTGTTTAGGCTAATCAGCTTGTAGGAATTTAGGAAAGTCTTGCATTGAGGAAGACCATTTGTCCACCATGCCCAATAACATCAGAAAGGAAATAAATTTCCTGTACAAGAACTCAAGTAGGATTTCCCCTCTAGGTCTACTTGACATTCTTTGATATTTGTTGGTTGTCTCCCTTCCAGTTACTAATCATATACAGTCCTGCTTCACTTCCAAAATCATGTAAGCTTGTTCAGGAGAGGAAAACTAAGAATACTCAATAAATTTCCATTTTTAAGTTTAAGCTGTCATGGTAGGATGAGATGCATCAACAAGAATGCTGAAAGCCCCATGAGATGCCTTACCTCCAGCTGACAATGACATCATGAATCCCTTTTCCACCCTCAAGGTCTCTGTACTGTGCACAAAGTAGCTCTAATGTATTTTTCCTTTGAGAAGCAAAGCACACCCATACATGTAGACTCACAGAAACCAAGCACACAGAGCCAGCATTGGAGGACTGGCTAGTTTTAAGCCAAAAACGAACAACCCATTCAGTGCTTCAGAAATTTAAACAATTAAGCAGTCATCCTACTTTAGGGGTTGAAATGCATGCAGGTGGCACAGAATTGTGAATTTCATGATTTTGCACCCCAAATCAGAAATTTGGTGCACAATTTCATTCCCACCAATGGAAAAGCTCTGCCAAAAGTAGCAGGAAATCCATCACCATCCATGCAAGTGAGGAGGAGACTACTGTAGTTCTTCATCATCTTGTATGAGGATGAAAGATGTGATGATTTACATCATGGCTAACCACGAACCATGAGCGATCACATTACAAACTATGGTTTTTCAGGTTTGTACTGTACCAACTCATTACGCATTGGCTCTCTGTTTCTACAGCGCAGTATGCTGATCATCTCCTCAGCACTTATTAACCCACTGGCTTGTCCAGTCTTCTAAATCATTTGCCTATCTCTGCCCAACTGGAGTTGACCCACACATGGACAAACAGTGGGAAAGTCAGAGCTCAAATGGCCGTCACACTTTAGCCTAGAAGTCCAATAAAAATCTAATTACTCTATTGTACTGCAGTGCTGATTGGGGGGCATGAATATATTTCAGGAGTATATCACATATATTCTATGCAGAAGAACCCAGATTAAATCCCTGATATATATATTAAATCCCCTATATATATATAGGTTCACTGTGGGGAGCCTTGAAGCTAATTCTGCTCTGTCATCATTTTGTATGAGGATGAGATAAGTGATGATTTACATCATAGCTAACCACGAACCATGAGCCATCACATTACAAAGCATGGTTTTTCAGGTTTGTTTGTGCCATCTCATTACACATTGGCTCTCTGTTTCTATAGCACAGTATGCTGATCATCTCTTCAGCACCTATTAACTCACTGGTTTGTCCAGTCTTCTAAATCATTTGCCTATCTCTGCCCAACTGGAGTTGACCCACACATGGACAAAAAGTGGGAAAGTCAGAGCTCAAATGGCCATCACAGTTTAGCCTAGAAGTCCAATAAAAATCTAATTACTCTATTGTACTGCAGTGCTGATTGGGGGGGGCATGAATATATTTCAGGAGTATATCACATATATTCTATGCAGAAGAACCCAGATTAAATCCCCGATATTGGGGATTTAATCTGGGTTCTTCTGCAAAGAATATACAGTGGTGCCTCGCTTAACGAGTGCCCCGTTTAACGAAAAAATCGCATAGCGATGGCTTTGTTGCCATCGCTTTTGCGATCGCACAACGATCTTGCCTATGGGGAAAAATCGCTTTGCGATTTTTCCCCATAGGCACCATTTTCCCCCAGCTGAGCGGCGGGAGCTTTGAAGCCCCGGGTTTTTAGTCCCCCTAAAATGATCAATCAGCATCCCATGGTTCCTGAAAATGCTTGGCCCTCACTTGGTTATTTTAGTGTCCTCCAACTCAAGTGTTTAGGTTGAATTAATGTTTGTTGTTTTCCAAAAATTTGCAGTTGTCTCAGCTTGGAGGATACTTCCCTTCTGTGTGTGAATGGTACCACGTAGGCCACATAAAGAATGGCATCCACCCTCTGAACGTGAAAAACAGAAGGAACATTTCTCCCTTCAAAATGGAGGGTGTGTGTGTGTGGTCTGACCTGCTTCAAGGTTTTTTATTTATGAAGTTCACATTAATTGACTTACCCTCTCTGAAAGAGGTCCACATTATGGAATTTGTGAAGTTCCACAGAAAAGTCAACAGTTCCTTGGACCTCCGACATGATGTTTTCAGGTCATCCCCTAAAAAAGGTGGAAAATAAAACAGCAGAGGATGAGGAAATGGAAAAGATGGAACTGGAGAGCAGAAGCTTCTAACTAGCAGGGATAGTCCCCTTTCTGGCCCAGACCTTTCAGAGTTGATCAGGAAGAACTGGAAGAACTGTTTTTTTCTCTTTTTTGGCTATCTAAGCTTTGGGAAAGCCTTCTTCACTCTCCTCCAGCATGTCCATTCTGGGCTAGTCCAAGTACACTGGGAATGAAGCAAGGAATAATCATGAGCCCCCAGCCAGCCCACCCAACCAGCTGCTGCCCTTACCTCCAATGCCACGACACACTTTGGGGGCAAATACCATATTTTTCCATGTATAAGACTATACTTTTGTCTAAAAACTTTAGACTAAAAATTGAGGGTCATCTTATACACAGAAGTAAGCTGAGAAGAGAACAAAAACAAACGGAGGGGAAAGCAGGGATCAAGGTGATCCTGCAGCGCTTTGATGCCTTCCCCCCTGCACTTGCTAAGCTCCACTTAGATTTCTTAATTTTGGATTAGAAAAGTGGGGGG